GGACAAAAATCGTGCACCTATGGATGAGGACAGTGGGTGGGGAGTGAGGGCGGAGGGTGGGGCGGGAACTGGGAGGAGGGGAGTTATGGAGGGGGAAAGAGGAACAAATGTAATAATCTGAACAATAAAGATTTAATTTTTAAAAAAAAGATTCTCAAATGAGCTAGGTGGGTTTAGTAACTAGGTGGCTAGGGAAATTTAGTAACACTATCCCTTCTCCTGCCTTTAGTAGCTGGTATCCCCAGTTCTTCAGGGATTTTTAACATGGTCCCTCTCTTTCCTCAGAAATCTCATCTACTTCAAAGGCCTTAATTTCTAATTATATGATAATTACTCCAAAGTCTCTATCTTCAGCCCAAATTGGCATTTTTTGACTTTAAACTGAAACTCTCTATAACTTATAATACCATAAATTTATCACATTCTAAACTGAACTCATTATCCTTCTCCCGTTAAATCTGTTTTTTCTTGCTTTACTAATTAGCTAATATTATCAATTCACCTGATCAGCAGGGCCAAAAACCAAAGTCATCTTTCTTCTCCTCAATCCCTGCTTTCCATGCAGTTTCCAGTTACTGTCCATTTATTCACCAAGCCTATGGCTATGGCCTTACCCAAGTCCTTCTCTCTGTCCCCGACCAGGGCAATAGTTTCCCACCTGGTCCTCCAACCTCAGCCCTCATTCTCTGCTCTAATCTGCTGAGGTTCTTAGAACCCATACTGCTAACTCAGCCCACCGCTCTCATCCCCTTAGCATACTGTACCTTATGCTTCAAGCGTCCTCCACCTCTAAATGCACACACAGGAAAAAATTTCTGGTAACTTGGTCTCTCACACAGATTTTCCTATAAGGGAAAAATATACTATGGGAACCAAAACATGTGGTCCACTTGACAGTTCCACTGTATAAACAGCAGACCCTCCGGCCTCCTCATCATGCCTTAGTGGGTCTGCTTGGTGTATACTTTCCTCAAGGCCTGATCAACAGAGTACACTGAGACAACTTCTGTTTCTAGACCTGAACAACTGAAGAGCAGACATCACTGTCCTGTGAAACTTCCTGAGCAGAAACGAGTTCTTTTGACACTGAGAACAAAAAAGCAAAACCTCTTTGTTAAATTCATGACTTTACTACAGAATATACCAAATGAACCCAACACTACAGAAGTTTGCTGAGATCAGCTTATAATGGTAAGCAACTGATATAAAGACAGAAGAGCTCTGTTTCAAATGGAAAATGCAAGATAGAGAAATTGATTCTCAATTCTGCTCCAAATTCAGTCTTTCCCAATAATAGCTAACACTGACAGAGCACTTACTATGTGCAAGGCATTGACTTTATTCTTCTCCCATGAAGCCCGTTTTTGTTTTATGCACATAATCCCCTCTCATCCTCACAACTACCCCAAGATGTGATATTACTGTTAAGGTTTCATAGATAGAGAAAACTTAAGCTCACAGGTTAAAAAGAGCTAAGCTGGTAAGAGCCAAGAATCAAACTCAGAGCTGGGGCCTCTCACTTCTGAGTGCTATGAGGAGAAACAAGGAGTGTAGGGGACTGTGAATGTGTGTAGTTTGGCCACTTGACGTTTCTCTCTCTCTCTCTCTCTCTCTCTCTCTCTCTCCTATTCCTTCGTCTCTCTCTAAAATCAATAACAATATTTTTTAAAAAAAGAAAAAGCCTCAGAGATCCTTCTAAAACAGGCTTAGCTCTCCACTCCATTTTGTAAAATATACATACTGATTACTGAAAGAGAAAAAAAGGGCAAACAAGCCCCCAATTTGTACTTTTGTGCTTTTAGGAAAAAATGAGTCATCTGATCCCAAAGTTGGCTTATTTACAAAGAAACAGAATGATCTGTGTTTTTATGTTTATTATGTTTCTTTAATAAGACAACTCCAAATCTGAATTTGATTTTGCCATTAAATAACTATTTAACAGTGCTGAGAAAATAATACAGATATATTATTACTGTAAATTGGGAATAATTCTGTCACTTGACAGAATGACAAGTGAGCTGCTAAAAATAAGTGGGATGAAGATCAAAATAAAATTTTGTTGCAAGAAATTAAGTCCACCTATATCGTAATACATTATCTTGCAAATGCCATGCATTCAATAAATATCTGCTAAGAGAATAAATGAATCTGTAGTCAAGTTACATCCATGCAATCTGTAGTAGAGAGAAAAACAGTACTACACAAAATATAAAGTTGATAGAGCATTTGAAAATTGAAAGCTTTCTTAGCCTAATTTACAAAAATCTAATTGTCCTCTCATGGGTTTCAGTAAAGAGATATGAGTGTATATATTGGGCTACATCAATTAAGTCCATCAGTTACACTAATATTGCAAACATTCCCTAGAGCAGGGGTTCTCAACCTTCTGGCCCTTTAAATACAGTTCCTCATGTTGTGACCCAACCATAAAATTATTTTTGTTGCTACTTCATAACTATAATGTTGCTACTGTTATGAATCGTAATGTAAATATCTGATATGCAGGATGGTCTTAGGTGACCCCTGTGCAAGGGTCGTTCGACCACCAAAGGGGTCGCGATCCACAGGTTGAGAACCACTCCCTAGAGAAATGTGTTTGAAAACACTGGCAAAAACTACAAAATCTTTAATACTCTCCCTCACCACAATTCTTATTTTAAAAAAATTGGTAAGATGTTTCCCAATAAAGTTAAGACATGGTAATGAGAAAAAGTCCAACAAACTGCTTTTGTGGGGAGAAGTCCTGAGATAGAAAAGGCTAATAGAATGCGATGACTCACGGTCATTACTATGACTAAGCAATTACTGTATTATAGTGACTATAGTAATATCCTCTAAAATTATAAGCTTTTAAAGAGCTCCTTCTTCCTATACTAAATGGTCTCAAATTGCTATTTTTTTTGAGATTTTAAGTCTACTTCTAATTTGGTTTTCTGCCTCATTGTAAAGGCAATCAACCATTACACTTTACAGTTGCCAGTGTCTCTCCCCTTTCTAATCTGCTGTTAGCTGAGAAACCAGATAACCAGGTTATCAGAGAACCCAGAAGTGTCTGCTTGAGACTAAACCTTAGGACCTGTTTTCCTGCCCTTGGCTGGTTCCTCGGTACCTCTTTCTTTCATCCCTGCAGCACTAGGGATTTGGTTGGCTTCTTCTCTTCCTTTGGCCCAGTTGCCGCCAAGTGCTTTCTCACCTGGTGCTCTTTTCCCTAGGTTGGCTCTGAATACGCTTTGTCCTTGCTTCACTGTCTCCTAAGAGAAGTCTAAGTCCTCCTCTTCTGTGAGAATTTTACTGTCAATTGTCATAGAGAAATATAAAGTAGGTTACAAACATGGGCAAAGTTGTTTAAGGAACCTTAAAATTTTTCATTGTGATTTTGTTCCTTAATCAGTGTTCACAGACTCCTCTCTTGAATGCTCGCTCCCAGAGGCTATGTGCTCACTGTCTTCCTCACTTCACTGTGAGCCCCTTGAATGAAGGTATCTTATGTTTGCATGCCCAAAACTTAAAGCAACTGACACATGGTAGGCTAGCAATACATGCCTAACTATAAGCTTAGTGATTTAAAATGTCAATACAGCCCTGACCGGTTTGGCTCAGTGGATAGAGCGTCGGCCTGCGAACTCAAGGGTCCCAGGTTCAATTCCAGTCAAGGGCATGTACCTTGGATGCGGGCACCCTAGTAGGGGGTGTGCAGGAGGCAGCTGATCGATGTTTCTCTCTCATCGATGTTTCTAACTTTCTATCCCTCTCCCTTCCTCTCTGTGAAAAATCAATAAAATATATTTAAAAAAATAAAATGTCAATACACTGAATTATAGAAGTAATTTAATGGACAAAATTGCATATTAGTACATTTCAGTCCAATATCAACTAAATGAATTGCCTTGAAAAAACACACACAAAAAACCTTAAGCTAAGAGTGAACAGTTGAAAGAAAACATTGTTTTTGCTTTATGAATAATTCTGTATAAGAGTTTGCTGTTAAAAGAGAGATTTATTATTTTTATAGCAATAACACAGTGCCCACTTTTCTTACAAATAACTAAAAAGAACTGGCTGACAATTTGATAGGAAAGCTACAAGTGAATTTTTGGCTCACAACTTAGTTTTATCATATTACCCACTAACAGTATTTGCAACTGTTTATAAATTACATTTAAATTAAGTCTCATATTAAATAAGAAATGAGAAAATATCTACTTAAAAACCCCACAGTTGCTAATATCTGCAGTCTTTTGTTTTTCATGACTAAAAATAGAACAGTGTTTAGCCTAGTACTAGCTAAAAAGATGAGAATAGATGGAAAAAAATCTTTTTAAGTTGCTAAATTATGTGCTTTAGGAACAGTTGTACCATCTCAGAGACATTTGAGTTGGCTCCCAGCCTCCTCCTCTTCCTTTCTTCCTTCAGACAGAGAGTGTTCTTTCTTAACCAACAAACTTCCCTTTGTTTAGATTTATACCACTGGCCTGAATAACCCGAAGCACCACACTCAACATGCCAATGACTAAAAGCAGTAAGAACAGAAAGCAGAGGTTTGGTGCTTAGACCCCAAACCTTTCTGTACATGATGAATTTTTGAAAAGTCCATTTTCTAAGTTGACAAGCATTTTATTAAATGTAAAGAAGTAGTTAAGTTCTCCTGAAAAGATCACAAATGATATGAACGGGGCTGTTGCAGATTTGGCCATCAACCTGGTCCTCACACCACAGGCATGCCCTCCATTATTACTCTTAAACATCCTTTTCTGAGACAACCTCATACCACACCATTCTTGCTAATCTCTGAAACCCTATCTATTCTCTATTTCTCTTACTCTCATTGCTCCCACCAGTAAATTCACAAAATCTATAGCTAGTATTCTCTCCAAACTCTATGAATGAAGTACAAGCATAATCTCAATCATGCACTTCCACACTTATTGATGGGAGTATAAATTAGCAATCCTCTTAGAAGAGGAACTGGGTGAAAGATAGAAGGGGGAGAGAAACTTATTTTTCTTAATATACTGTTCAATTTTTCTACATGTGTATATGTCCACCAGGTTGAAAAATAATGAAATATGTTACTTAAAAGTCTCTATTCCTGCCTTCTCTATCTCCCTCTAACTATTGCCCTCTGTTCTCAGCCGTGCTTCCTTAAAGGGTATTTCCTCTCATTCTCTTTTCTCCATCTCTCATTCATACCTCAACCCCACTACAATCTGATTTTTCCTGAAACCACTTTCCCTTCAGTCACCAATAGTCCCTGCTAACCAATCCAATCATACCTTCTTAGTTGTTATCTTATGTCATCTCTGGTTCAATATTGTTGACTACTCCCTGCTTTCCTCTGTTGACTCTCTTTTCTGTTAATAACTCCCAGTCTGGCTCTTAAACTAGACTTTTTCCTGAGCTTCAAACAATTTTCTCAAAGGCTGATTATGATCCCTTAAACCAGTGGTTGGCAAATTGCAGGAAGCGAGCCACACGCGGCTCTTTGGCCCCTTGAGTGTGGCTCTTCCACAAAATACCGACTTCTGCGCATTGGCCATGAAGTTTCAATCACACTGTACGTGCACGCCTGTGCATGGTACTTTGTGGAAGAGCTACACTCAAGGGGCCAAAGAGCCGCATGTGGCTCGCGAGCCGCAGTTTGCCGACCACTGCCCTAAACTGATCAACTGAACAGATGTCTCCTTCTTCTCACCTTGCCACATCCAACCCATTACCAAGTTCTGTGCAGTCTAATACCAATATATGTCTCTCAAATTTACCCGCTTCTCTTCATTCCCTCTGCTTTCATCCTAATTCAAGCCATCATCAACTCTTAGATTCCTAAGGTGAACCAAGTTCCTATTAGGACTCCATGTTAATCTCTTATTCTCCATAAGGCAACAAGAATCATGTTTTTTAAAACTAAATTCCTTTCAAAAATAAATGAAGGGGTCCCGTAATACCTAGAATAAAATCCACACTTAAAATCCCAGTCTACAAGGTCTGCCCATACTTGTCCCTCATCTTGCCACGCTCTGCTCTTTGCTCAGACTCAGCCACAGAGACACAGACCTTTTGTCA